TCCCCCCAGACCCCTTGCTCCCACCTCCAATCCCCACGATTTTGCCCACAAATCCCCAAAACCCCTGATCCCTCCCCCAAATCCCCCGATCCTACCCCTGAACACCCCAAACCCCTCGAGTCCCCCACCCCGTGCCCACCTGCCGAGACGAGGACGACGGCGGTGAAGAGCCCCAGCTCCTCGTCGCTGAGCTCGAGGGCGCTGAGCTTCTCGCTGAAGTCGAACATGGCCCCGAGCAGGTCCCCCATGCCCATGGCCCAGAGCTCCTCCAGCCCGTACCGCGTGCGGCTCATGAACGTCACCGTCTGCTCCTTCACGTCGAACAGCGACGCGAAGCGAACCATCAGCACCTGCGGGGTGGGCAGAGTGTTGGCACCCGGGACAGGGCACCGGGCTCCGTGCCAGGGCTCCCAAATGTGGGGGACTGCGGTGCCGTGGGGCTCCGTGCCAGCCCATGGGGAATCGTGCCGTGCCAGGGGCTCTGTGCTCCACGCCACAGTCCCCAAATGTGGGGTACCGTGCCATCCCATGGGCACCGTGCAATGCTTCGTGCCACAGCTCCCACAGGCGCAGCACTGCGTTGCCACAGGGCACCAGGCAATGCCACGGGGGCTTCATGCCAGACTGTGACTCCCAAATGTGGGTCACCATGCCGTGGGCACCATGCTCCACACCGTGGCTCCCACGTGTGGGCCGCTGCAGTGCCGTGGGCCACCAGGCAATGCCGTGGGCACCGTGGGGCACCAGGCAGTGCCACGTTCCATGCATGGATGGGCACCGGTGCTAATTTCTGTGCCACGGCTCCCACATGTGGGGCACTGCAATGCCATGGGGCTCCTGCCACGATCTGGGCCACTGTGCCCGTGCTTTGGGGCTCCATGCCAGGCCACGGAGCATCGTGCAATGCCGTAGGGATCGTGCCAGGCTTTGGGGCACCACGCAATGCCGTAGGGCACCGTGCCCTGCGTCAAGCCCTTGCCATCCCAGGACATACCTCAAAGGTGCCAGCCTTGAGCAGGGTGACCTGGTCATGCTGGGAGAGCGCCTGGAAGCCGGGAATGTGCTTGGCGAACTCGACGACCTCGCGGACGGCGGGGGTGAAGCTGAGGGAGAAATCCTCCCAGATCTCCTGCACGGAGCGCCCGCTGCGCCCGGGAACGTGGCTGTTCATGGGACACGCCTGCGGGTGCCAGGGGGTGTCAGTGGGCACCAGGGGCTCCCCCAGCCCCACTGTCACAGGGTGGAGCGGGGAGGAGCACCCACGAGGGGATTAGCGCAATTAGCAGCTAAAAACACCCTGCGGGCAGCGGGAGCCCCCGGGGCGCTCACCGGCAGGACGTCCTTGGGGCTGCGGGGCCAGGGGCACCCCCGTGGGGCCGGGGGCTCGGGGTAGGCGGCGGGGCAGAGCCGGGGCTCGGGGGGGCCGGGGGCCCAGGCGGGGGGCGCGTCCCAGCGCAGGAGGCCGCTGTCGCAGGCGGGGGGTGGTCCCAGCTTGTCATGGGCGTAGATGAAGATCTCCTTGTGGGCCTTGGCCACCTGCGCGATGACGTCCTCGGTGGCCCCCCCGGGGCTGGGCGAGCGAGGGGGCGTCAGTTGCTGGGGGAACTGGGAGAAGCAGGCAGGGGGGGCGAGCGGCGGGGGGCCGGGGGGCGGCGCGCGGCCCCCGCCCGCGGCGGGACCCTCGCCGGGGCCTGGCATCGGCGGTGGGGCGCTGGCCATGCCGCCCATGGCGCTCTGCATCTCCGCCAGCATCCGCTGCTTCTCCCGCTTGGGGATGCGCCCGAAGCGCACGGCTGTGGGGGCAACGGCGTTAGGGGGGACACTGGCGGCGGCAGCGGGCACGGTGACCCCTCCCAAACCTGTGCTGAGGGGGGCCGGGGGCTGCCGGGAGCGGAGCTGCATCCCTACCCCCGGCTTGGAGGGGACACGTTGCCCTGAGCATGGAGGAACCCGGTCCTGGAGGTGGCACACAGGCCTGGGCACTGTGGGAACCATCCCAGGAGGGGGCAGGGAGCCCGGGGCATGGGGGTTCCATCCTGGGAGGGGATATAGTGCCCTGAGCATGGGGGGGACCTATCCCAGGAGTGGACCCAGCCTGGGAGGGGATGCACAACCCAGAACCCAGGGGGACCCTGTCATGGAGAGGACATGCAGCCCCAGTTATGGGGGCACCCATCCCAGGAAGGGGGGGGACACGTCCCATGGGACAGGCAGGGCACCCAGCACAGCCCAGGGGGGAACCTGACTCTGCAGGGGATGTACAGCCCTGGGCACAGGGAGTCACATCCCAGGAGGGGACACCCAGCCTGGTCACAGGGAATCCCACCCCCAAAGGAGCCCCTCGGCTCAGGGGGGGGTCGCAGGGATCCCTCCGAGCTCACCGTCGCGGGACATGCCAACCAGCAGGCACTTCTTGAAGCGGCATTGCTGGCAGCGGTTGCGGTTGATGCGGACGATGGAGCAGTTCTCATTTTTGAGGCACTTCTTGTACTGGATGTTCTGCTGAATGCTGCGGCGGAAGAAGCCCTGCAGGGTGGGAGGGAGGGTCACTGGGGGTCCCCCCAGCGTGACTGGGGGTCCGTGCCCCATCCCCAGCCCCATTTCAGTACCTTGCAGCCCTCACAGGCGTGGACGCCGTAGTGGAAGCCGGAGGCGACGTCCCCGCAGACTTTGCAGAGCAGCACCATCCCGTTGAGCTCTGTGGGAGAATGAGGGGTCAGTGGGGTCCCAGGGTGCCCTCAGCGGGGTGAGGGGCCCGCCCGCCGCCCCCCCCGTGAGCCCCACTCACTGGTGACGGTGCTGCCGGCTTTGCTGGGCGAGCTGCGGCGCCGCTCGTCCGCGGGGACCGGCTGCACCCCGGGGAAGTTCACCGAGGAGCCGTACGACGAGGAGGAGGAGGAGGAGGAGGAGGTGGTGGTGGTGGAGGATGAGCAGGAGGAGGAAGGGGAGCCGTCCTCATGGGGGGCCAGTGAGCCCCCGCCGTAGGCGCGGGAATCCTGGAGGGAGCCGGTGGGCGACGGGGGGAAGTACGTGGGGAAGGGCTGGGAGCCCGACTGGGAGCTGCCGTTGGAGCTGTCGCTGCAGAGGGACACGGGGCTGGTGCGGGTGGGAGAGGCGCCGCTGGAGCCCACGTAGCTGATCACCCCACCTGCGGAGAGCGGAGGTCATTCGTGCACTGAGCTGCGCCGGGCTCAGCCTCCCCCAGTTCATGGAGGGGGGAACCCCAGGAGGTGGGTGGGATCCCCAGGGAAGCATCCCGGATCCATCAGCAATCCAAACCCTGCGGGGCCACATGTGCACTGAGCTGTGCCAGGCTCAGCCTTCCCCAACAGTGAGCAGGATCACAGCCCTGGGTAGGGCGGGATCCCCAGGGAAGCACCCAAAATCCACGGGAAACCCACGGGGCCATACATGTACTGAGCTGTGCCAGGCTCAGCCTCCTCCCCCACAAAACGGGGACACCCCCATGAGGGGGATTGCAGCCCCAGCTGGGGTGGGATCCACAGGGAAGGATCCCGAATGCATCCCGGATCCATGGGCATCCCGGTGGACCACTCATCTACCGAGCTGCACCACGCTAAGCCTCCCACAGCCCAGGGAGGGGAAAACCCCCTGGAGGGGGATGGCAGCCCCAGGCGGGGTGGGGTCCTCAGGGAAGCACCCCGGATGCATCCCGGATCCACGGGTATCCCGCAGCGCCGCACGTGTGCCGCCCACCCTGAGTCAGGCACCGCACCCACCGGGCGCCACGGGCGCCGGGCCCACGTGGGACGGGGACAGCCGGGTTTATCCGGGTGCGTGCCGGCTGGGGACACGGGCAGGGCACCCCGGAATTGCCTGCAGGAGGAATGTGGGTTGGGAACCCTCGGGAGAGGTGAAATCGGGAGGTCACAGGAGTTACTCCCGCCGCCCCTGGCTCGGTGCCCGCGGCACAGCCAGGCTCCCACCCCACAGCTCCTGGTTCAGCCCCACAGCACAGCCCCCCCGTGGCACTGGAATGCTCTCAATACATCCCCCTTTGGCATGGGGTTGCTCCCAGTGCAGCCCTTCATGGCTTTGGGGTGCTCCCAGTGCAGCCCCCCCTTGGCTTTGGGGTGCTCCCAGTGCAGCCCCCCTTGGCATTGGGGTGTTCCTAGTGCAGCAGCCCCACAGCACCTGGATTATCCCAGCAGCACAGCACCTTCATTTGTGGGGGGATACATCCCCACTGCGAGGCTGAGTTGCATGGGGGACCCCCAAAAAGTGGGGAACAGTACGACAGGTGGGGAAGGGGGTGCACGTGCGTAGGCCCTGGCTGAAGTCACAGCCGTTGTCACCCCACTCACGGGGCAGGCACAGCAGCACCGGGGACACGACTCCGGGCTGGGACACGTGGATGGCGATGTCGGGGACACACGGGATCGCCGGGGCCATGTGTCTCCCGCCGCACACGGTGCCGCCGGCACAGATGCCACGCGCCGGAGCCAGCTTGTCACCACTTCCCCCCCCCCCCGCCTCACTGAACCTCCAAAGGGGGTCACTGAATCGGGGACAGTGGTGTCACCCAACCCTATGCCAGCTCATCCTGGGGACCCCCAGCTGCTGACACTTTAAAATAATGAGGGGATCCCCGCACCCCGAAGCCCCGGGACCCCCCCCTTAGGGGACCCCCTTAGGGGGGGGTCCCGGGGCTTCGGGGTGCGGGGATCCCCCCCAAAGGGTTGCCCCAGAAGGCGAAGACTCTTCCTGACCCGAAAACATCGGGAACCCCCCCACAAACAGCCTCCCCGCAGCCACCCCCCCGTGTGTCCCCGTCCTCCCCCCCTCCCTCCCCGCAAGCTCAGGCGGCCTCACGCCGCCGCCCCACGTGCTCCGGCCGCACGTGGCCCACCCCCGGCCCCGCCCCTTCACGCTTTGCCACGCCTCCCCCGCCCTCATTGGCCCGGCGCTCGGCCCCGCCCCTCCTGGTTGCCCCGGAGACAGGGCCTCCCCCCCCACCCCCCCACCCAAAATGAGCGGCGGCGTCCCCGGTCCCGCGCGTGACGTCATCGGGGACGTCACGCGGCGGCCAATGGGAGGGGGCGGGGCGGGGCTGAGGGGAAAACAAACTCCGCACGTGGCAGCGGCGGGGGGGGGGGGGGGGGGGGGGGGGGGGGGGGGGGGGGGGGGGGGGGGGGGGGGGGGGGGGGGGGGGGGGGGGGGACGACCAGCACCGCCTCTGGTCCCCGTCCTCCCCTCACCGTCCCCGTCCCTTCCCGGTGAGCGCGGGGAGCCCCGACACGCAGTGGCATCGCCTCGGCCGCCCCACGGGCTGCCCGGTCCCCGCGGCCAGCTGACAGGGATACCTGTCCTGCCTGCAGTCCCCTCCGGTCACCCCGAGCGGTCCCGCCAGCCAGGACACACCGATGCCGGCGCGCTCCCCTCCGGTCCCGCTTCCCGGGACACTCCAACCCCCGCTGACCCCAGAGCCGCCTCGCTCCTCTCTGGTGCTTCTGCCCGGGTCACATCAATCCCAATTTGTCACCCTTCCTACCCCCGTGTCCAGCGGTCCCCGGCGTTCGGGAATCCCCAGTCCAGGTCTCTGGGACACCCCGGTCCCGTCGCGCTGCCCTCTGATCCCGCCGCCCGGGACACCCCTGTCCCGCTGCCCTAGACATTCCGGGACACCGATCCTGGTTCTCACCCTTCCTACCCCCGCGCCCAGCGCGCCGTGGCGTTCGGGACTCCCAGTCCCGCTCTCCGTCCCTCCTGCCCCGGCCACCGGGGCGCCCCGGTGCCGGTGTTTAGTTCGTCCCGGTGAGGAAGACCCCCGGTGCCGGGGCGCACCCCTCCCTACCCTCCTCCCGGGGACACCCCGGCCCCGCTGTCCGAGCCTTACCCCGCTCTGCAGGACCGTCCGGTCCCGGTAGGACGGAGCCCCGTTCCGGGACGCTGTCCCGGTGCGCATCCTGCCCGGTCGGGCGAGCGGGACCCCCACGGTCCCGGTGTCCGGACCCCTCCAACTCGCGGTCTCAGCGCGCAGCCCCTCGCCGCGGTCCCGGGACGCTGCCCCCCGATGCGCTCCGGTGTTGGCGGGGCGAGAGGGGGACCGTTGCCGTTGCCCGCACGGTGGTCGCGGGGGTGAGGGGGCTC